GAAAGAAAGAAAGAAAGAAAGAAAGAAAGAAAGAAAGAAAGAAAGAAAGAAAGAAAGAAAGAAAGAAAGAAAGAAAGAAAGAAAGAAAGAAAGAAAGAAAAGAAAAGAAAAGAAAAGAAGGAAAGAAAAGAAAGAAAAGGGAAAAAATACAATAGAAGGGAAAGAGAGCAAAGCTACAAAATCAAACAAAATCTCGCTGTGCAGGCGAGATCCACCGCAATCTTTCTCTTCGTTCCCCAGAAGGAGAAACACGGATTCCCATCTCCGCCAGCCGCGGGGCCGCGCAGGGAGGCGGCAGCGCCGGTCCCGTCCCCGGACGACCCCCGGTGTCCGGCCGAGACCCCGCTTCGGCTCGGTGGCCGAGCTGGGAACTGCTGCGGGGCCGCCCCGACCCCTTAATTTTTTTTTTTTCCTCTCTCTCTGTTTTCTTTGATCCCCGAGCCGGGCCGGGGGTGGGCGAGGCAGAGGTGCGGACCCTCCGCCCCCGCTCCCCCGCAGCCGCCGGTCGGGACCGGGCGGTGGCAGCGCCTCAGGCCGCCGAGCGCTGAGCGGGGCCGGGATTTCGTTTCGCGCGGATCCCGCCGCCTTTCAGCCGCTTCTGCGGGGGGAAAAGAAAAAGTCGGCCGGGTGCCGGCTGCTCACAGCGGGAATCCCCGCCGGCAGCATCTCCCCTCCGCTCCCCGGCTCCGCAGGAACCTTTTTTTGGGGGAGCTGCTTCGGTTTGGGGGATATATCGTCCTACTGGAAAATTAGAAACCTTTAATTTTTATTTTTTTTCCCCCGTTTTTCCTTGTGGTTTTCAGTCCCGTCTTGGTGTCCAGACGAGGTTCCCTGGATGCTCTGGAGGGAGCCAGGGCTTGCTGGGAGCTCGGAAGCTGCTGTGCTGAAATCAGGAGAGAACCCCAAATTTATCTTTACATTTCTTTTCCCCGCTGCCGTGCCCAGGCCTGCTCCCACCTCCAGGATAATTCAGGCAGGACCTTTATCCCCCATAGGAATAAAATGCAGACACCCCACCCCGACCCAGGCGGGTGCCTTGACTCCAGCCACTGGTGTCCCCGGCTTATTAAAGAGGAAAACTTTAGCGCCTGCACCCCCAGGAGGAGGTGATCCGGGAGCAGCCTGCCTTCCCACTGGATTCCTGGCCGGGAGGAGCTCTGAGTGGAGGAGAAAGGCATTTTATTTTTTAACGAAAGAGCCGCAGAGGATGCCAGCGGAGCGGGGGGACGCAGCCGGCAGCGGCGGTGGGCAGGCAGGGTTGGGCAGGGGGTGCTCTGCCGGGATTAGGGGGTGCTGGTGGGGGAAAGGTGTGATCTGATGCCCATTAAAATACAACAGTGAGGATTTGCCGAGGAGCAAACGAAAGAGGAAGGAAGGAGAGGGAGAGGGGGACAGGACAGGCACTAAAAACTGGCCCTGGGGCTGGGGGTAGAGAGTCAGCTCCGGGGATGCTGTAAGCAGCAGGTCCATCCCCATCCATCTGCATCCCCAAGCCCTGGCCACTGCTTGCCTGCCTGGACTCAGTCCCTGCCTGCACCCCTTCCTCCTTCCACAGCAGGAGCAGGGAGGCTTTTCTGGGGCCGGATCGGGCGCACTGCCGGCAGGTGCAGTCCGTTCCCCCCCCCAGCTCGTTAATCTGTAACACATCGGCCTCCAGCATCAAAGGGCAGAATGTGGAAAATCAGGCCCCGGGCCCCGGAGCGTGGCCACGGGCACAGCTTGCTGGGATGTTAAAAGTTGACCAGACTTCAAAGTGCTGGATCATTTCCTCCTAACCTCTCCCACCTGCTCTTCCCGTGGGCACAGCTCCTTGCCCTGCCCGGATTTCTTCTCATCATCCTTCAAAGGTGGTCCCAAAGTGAAAAGGAGAAGAATGGGGCTGATGGGGCTGTATTTTGGGTTAGGGGGACAAGGAGGTCCAGAGCCTGCTTGTCTTGGGCTGCTCCCCCTTTCCTGCTTCTTTGGCTTCTTTTTTTTTTTTTTTAATTTCCCTTGGTTCAGGGATATGTTGGATGGCAATAAACTGACCTTACACAACCCCATGGGCTTCAGCAGGTTATTCATCTCAACTCCCTCAGTTTCCTTTTTTTAAGGTGTTTTTGGCAACTGGTTCATCGATGGTAGATGGACGGACAGACAGACGCATGGATGGATGGATGGATGGATGGATGGATGGATGGATGGATGGATGAAGATGCCATGGGAATGGTGGGGATGGTGCATGTATGCATGTTGAGATGGATAGATAGCTTTAGTCTATGGAGTCAGGCTGATACTGAGAGGGCATCTCACCACCAAGCCCAGGAAAGGGAAGTCACCCAGATCACATAGCTATGGGCTAGCAGAGGCTAGTCCATCAAGGAAAGAGGTTGCTGGGTCCTCACCTGCCTGCAGAATGGTCACAGTGGCTTTTCCACGGGGGCTGCATCCACCCCTGCCTCTCCAGTGTGGCCTGAGGGCTATGTTGGTACAGAAACTGGTACTGCAGATGTGGGTTCTAGTATGATGGGTCTTGATGGGCTCTCAACATATTCAGACTGGGAGGTGAAACACCCAATTTTTGGGCAGCATCTGCATCTCCTGCTTGTGACACGGTTTGTCCAAACAGCACTGATGCTGCAGGCACAGCTCTGTGTGTGGTGTCACCTGCCATACGGGTAGGGGATATGATCCTCCTCAGGGACCTGCTGGGGTGACAGCAGGTACAACATCAGGGGACAGAGCTGTGGGGATCCCTAAGGTCCTTGAGCCCTTCTCTGTAACAAGGGGTGCAATCCACCCCCCACAGACACCGGGAGAAAACCCAAACTGCTGACCTTGATTTGTTATTCTGGCCCCTGGGGTGGCAGCAATGGTGGGCGCATGGTTTTGCCATGTCCTGCCTAGGAGTGGATTCTCCCTCACCCTGATCACAGCCTTAAACCTCCTCAGGGTGCCATGGCTGGGAGCTCTGTGCTCTAGCACTGTGATTCCTGGGGATGTGGTTGAGGGTTTATACCACTGACAGTGTGGGGAAGGGCTCAGTCGTGGTGTTTGGGTTCAGCCAGCTCTCCCCACTGGTTTTGGGGGTGAAGACTGGTCTCCCAGCTAATGTATCACCCTGTACCTCCCTCCAGGGCTATAGGATGTCAGCCTTATAAATGCTCTTCCATGCGCAGCAGGGTCATCATTGCAGCAAAAATGTCTTTCTAGGAGAGCTGGGGAAATTTCGACACAGGAAATTACACCTCCAGCCCCGGGGAGGGGTCGGGTGCTCCCTCAGATGGCACCGGAGCGTGACCTCCACATCAGACCGCCCCCGGGCTCACCCCAGCTTTGCCCCAGCGGGCAAGGAAAGCAAGATCTCCTGCAAGATTGCACCATCGCAGGGGTGGGGAAAGGTGCAACAGCTTCAGTGCCGTGGTGGGGAGAGGAGCCGTCCCTGCAGGGATGCTGGGAGAGTATCCCCCAAAACCCCACAGGAACCATGCGGTGTTATATGAGGGGGGACCAGCAGACTTGGCTCCCGCTCACCTCCGCAACATACCGTTAAATGGCACCAAGACAGTGTATCAGCCACTTACATATGTTGCTTATAGACGCCAAACTTATTAACACAATAAAACTGCTGCTAAGAAGCTTTCCTGCCTTCTTTCCCGCACAGAGAGCATCAGTGTTGGAAGCACCTAGCCGCCTCGTATGGAAACACCCGGGGTTGCTTTTCATATGGCACCCAGGAAAATAAATACATGAATCAGCCAGGGTCCCCCTTCCAGCATTTCCAGACCTCAGCTGTGAGGACAGGGAGTTGGGGACAA